ACAGCAAGGCCTGGGTGGCTGCGGCCTCCCGGGCCTCAGTTTGGAGCTGGCCGCGGGGGGGAGGAAGGCAAGGGGGGAAGGCAAGGGGGTGGAGGAGACGGGAAACAGCGGGACGGGGGTACTTACTTCCACCTTCTGCTTCCTCTGCCTCCCTCCCACGGGCCCCGCCCCTTGGAAGGTGGGAAGGGGAAGGGGCGGGGAAGGGGTGAGTAGACCTGGACTCCGGAGACCAGGTCTACCCATGCAATGGGAAGGGGTGGGTAGAACTGGACTCTGGAGGGGGGGTGCGCTCCAGGGCAGGGGGAGGGGAAGATCGAGCCAGGGGGTGGAGGAGGGGTGGAGGAGATGGGGAACCGGCGGGATAGGGGGGGAACTTACCTCCTCCTGCTGCTTCCTCCTCTTCCTGATAGGTGTGGAGGTCCCCCTCTCCCGCGAGTATCGCGGGGGGGCCCCTTGTTCTGTATATACTTGACTATGTATGTTATGCCATTAAAGGTCAGAACTGAATTGTATTGAACTTTGTTAGAATACCTTTGGGGGCAGAGGCAATGCCAAATGGCTGGTATAAGAACCCAAGGAACTTCCCACGAGGTGGTAGAATTGGAACACCCAGGAAAGCTTCTGTCAGACCTACTGAACATATCCCCCTTTTTTCTACTCATGGTTAACATTCAAAGCCCTTATTTTCTGACATCAGGTAATCAGGAAACTTCCCACATCCACATCTAGCCAAACGTAATGCCCATTATAAAATCCTTGCTGCCATTTTTCATTACCTTTGAACTGCTTAAAGACACCCTCAAGAAAGGGGGTTATATCACAGAAGTCCCAGACAGCCCACTTCAGTGCAAGAGGTAAAACCACTGGCTCCTCAAGTTTCTCCTTCTCCTCCTCATACCTGAAGAGGGGGGAAAATGTTAAACCATTCTAGATTTTTTTCCATCCCTGCCATAACTGTCTATCCAGATAGTAATATGCTTTACTTGCAGATGTTCTATAAACACAGCCACATCTATCCATGAGATTAGACATTCTATTAAACATTTTTTTAAAAGAAATTATTTAATCACACAAGCTGCTCCAAAAGCTAGTGGAAGACAGAATAACTTTTGCAGTATAAAAGTACAAGAGGACCTAAGCTACAATGCCCAGGGGAAATGAATGGTCACAAAATGTGTGGCCATGTCTTTAAATCTTCAAATGTCCGTGTTTTGAACTTCTTAGAAAAAAGAATCAAGGCACAGAAACAATATTCTGAACAATAAAGCCAGAACAAAGCACTCTGGAGAACAGGAGTGTCAAATTTATGACAATCTTCTGGATGTTGGGGAAAAGGTGGAATTCAGAAATTGGGAAGAAATATTCAGAAGGAAGACTAGCACCTTGTTTGGGGGTACATAACTCGGACAATTTGACAATGGTGGCAATTTGATCTCTAGTTCCTCTACCTCTTCGAAAGCCAGCTTGTACTCTGGCAGTTCTCTATCCACATATTGCTGAAGCCTAGCTTGTAGGATCTTGAGCATGACCTTGCTAGTGTGTGAAATGAGTGCAATTGTGCGATAGCTTGAACATTTGGGATTGGAATGTAAACTGACCTTTTCCAATCCTTTGGCCACTGTTGCGTTTTCCATTTCCTGGCATACTTAGTGTAGCACTTTAACAGCATCATCTTTTAAGACTTTGAATAGCTCAGCTGGGATACCATCACCTCCACTAGCTTTGTTGTTAGTAACGCTTTCTAAGGCCCATTTGACTTCGCACTCCAGGATGTCTGGCTCAAGGTCAATAATCACGCCATCGTGGTTGTCAAGGACACTGCGGTCCTTCTTGTATAGTACTTCTGTGTATTCTTGCCATCTCTTCCTAATCTCTTCTGCTTCTGTTAGGTCCCTACCAATGTTCCCTCTAAGCTGTGTAGTCTTGTGATCAAAAATTCTACTTTATGAGCTACTGCCATTAAAGCTGTGAGCGAGCTATTTGGCTGCTGCTTAAATTAGTTTGCTCTGGAGCCATCCTTCCTGAGCCAAGACCTGAGCCGGAGGCTAAAACCTGTGAGCTATCTCACACTAACTCAGCTTAGGGGGAACACTGGTCCCTACCATTTTTGTCCTTTATCATGGCCTTTATCATGGCCATTGCATGGAATGTTCCCTTGATTTCTCCAATTTTCTTGAAGAGATCTCTAGTCCTTCCCATTCTATTGTTTTCGTCTATTACTTTGCATTGTTCATTTAGGAAAGGCTCCTTATCTCTCCTTGCTGTTCTCTGGAAATCTGCATTCAGTTGGGTAAATCTTTCCTTTTCACCTTTGCCTTTTGCTTTCCTTCTTTCCTTTGCTATGTGTAAAGCCTCATCAGATAGCCACTTTGCTTTCTTGCATTTCTTTTTCTTTGGGATGGTGCTGATTGCTGCCTCCTGTAAAATGTCATGAACCTCCTTCCATAGTTCTTCAGGCATTTTGTCTATCAAATCTAGTCCCTTAAACCTATTCTTCACCTCCACTGTATATTCATCAGGGATGTGATCTAAGTCAAACCTGAATGGCCTAGTGGTTTCCCCAACTTCCTTCAGTTTAAGCCTGAATTCTTCAATGAGTAGCTCATGATCTGAGCCACAGTCAGCTCCAGGTTTTGTTTTTACTGACTGTATTCTCCATCTTTGACTGCAAATGATATAATCAATCTGATTTTGGTGTTGCCTATCTAGTGATGTCCATGTGTACAGTTGCCTCTTAGGCAGGCATTGGCAAACTGGCTTAATCACTTGCCATGAAAATCCTATGGAGTTGCTGTAAGTCAGCTGCAACCTGACAGCACTTTACATACTTTCATCCAGAACCTTCCCAGCATCATGAAGAGAAATGAGAGGGATCCACTTACCTCTGCAAGGTGCTTCTGATGTCCTGAAGAGAGACAGAAAGAGGAGAGAGAAAATCTGTATGAGATAAGAATTCAGTCTAACTTTCTTCGTAAGATTTTGGGCCTACCCTCATGCGTGCCATATGCAAGCCATGTGTATAGAAACAAACCAAAGACTCCTTGAAACTAGAGTATGGATTATTGCCATTAAATCTTGGTTACACCTACTTTTTAAAAAGAGACAACAATGGTCTTATTGCTCATATGTTGTTTGGATACCCTGTCAAGCTGTTCAAGGAAGGCGACATCCCCCTCAGGAGGTCTGTAGCACACTACAACCACAATACTGTTTGTTCTTCCCTTATCATCACCCAGATACTTTCCACTGGAATGTTGCCCTCCTCCTCCAGTATTTCCTGGCAAACAAACCCTCTCCTCACATACAGCACCACTCCATCCCCTCTTTGACACTTTCAGTTTTTCTTGAACAACTCATATCCATCCACTATTACATTCCAGTCCCGGGAATCATCCTACTAACTTTCTGTAATGCCTACTAAATCATATCCCTCTGTCTGCATTAGAAGCTTCTTTCTTATTGCCCAAGCTCTGGGCTTTGGTACCTAGACCCCCGTGAGGGGCTGTGGTGGCTAAGTGGTTAAGACGCTGAACTGCAGACTGGAAGGTCAGTAGTTTGGCAGTTTGAGACCCGAGTGCCGCATAACGGAGTGAGCTCCTGTCTCTGGTCCCAGCTCCTGCCAACCTAGCAGTTCGAAAGCAAGAAACTGCAAGCAGATAAATAGGTACCACTTTAGTGGGAAGGTAACAGTGTTCCGTGTGCCTCGGTGTCTAGTCATGCCGGCCACATGACCATGGAGATGTCTT